CTGTAAAGCTGGTACTCACCAGGTGCTCTTAAATCCGCGTGTCTTTAACTTATAACCTTTACCATTCAACGAGTATTCTGCTCGACCAGCCCGATTAACCCGATTCATTCTGTTGACCCGGCCGATCGGTTTAATAGATATAATATGCCATATCAGCTGCTGTTATGAAAGGCTAGAAGTATTTTTTTATCCCTAAAGGAGATTACATATGTAATGTAATATGTGATATTATACTGAAGGAGTAAACTGGTCCAGTGAGCCGATCGAATAAATCGAGTCAATTGTCCTGGTCGAACAGAATCCATCCAGGGTGGTCGTGGTCGAACATTGCAAGACCAGGAGCCTGTGGATCAGGGGGTAATTCAAAAAGGATTCTAGTATGAGGATAACAGTTCGATCCCAACTCCGCAGAGGGTCTGATCGAAGTTCGACCTGCTCCACAAATGGTCATCCGATCTACCATTTACTAGACTCAGAGCAGTTAGCGAATCGACTTGGATGTGGTCGAGCGTGAAAGCATTTGAGGAGATCACAGAGGAATCAAAACCCCGTGTGTGGAGGACCCGTGGCATGACCTGATTGGTCCATATAGCATAACCGTCTCTGACACACCCCCAGTGTGTGTTGTACGACTGGGCAGGCTGGGCAACTCTTGGGCAGCCAGCTCAGTTCATCCATGCAACAGATATCTCACCCCTATATACAGTGGTTAACTTTACGATTTCAACACGATTTTCTATTATTATACTCTTCAGATTTGAGCTTTGGAGTGATGCTGACATAAGCATCGGAGACTCTTCACCGGAACACCTCCAGTGTGAGAGTTTTTGCAGGTACTCATCGTTCTACCAACGAGAACGAGTTCGAGCGAGCTGATCTCTAGCCGGTCGGAGGTCAGACGTACATTATAATGAATCTTTGAGTTCCTAATAAAAAAGAGACCTTGCTTCCCAGTATGCTGTCGTAATTTTAATTTATCTCCGTAATCGAGTCCTTGTACGCCTTGAGTAGGAAATGAACCAAGGCTATGCCGAGTAGTTTTTGAAAGAGTTTGATAACTTGTAGAACATCCTCCCAAATAGATGAGGTTGGACGGTGGTGGTCGTTCGTAAAATGAACAAGGGGCAATAATTTTTGAACTGGTGGCTTTGCAACCCATCTTACCCGAAGCTATCTCGGTCAAAGAAAGGTACGAAAATTATGGATTTATTTGATTTGAAGCATGTTTGGTCTAATATAAAATTTTTGGCCAATCTAAAATTTAGCTAAAAAAAAGAAAGACAAGAAAAAAAGGGAATTGTTGGTAGAACCTATGTGAGGAACTACTAGTAGAAAATGGATATGATCAAATCTACCAAAGAGCATTAGTTCTCTCATAAGATAAGAAAACACGACACAATTTTAAAGGATTGATTGATTCGATATAAAATGAGGGGAGGGGAGGGGAGCGGAGGGCTAGGGCTTTTTTAAAATGCCCTTAGTTGGTTATACTATTGGGAGGGCAGGGAGGGGAGGGGAGGGTAGGAGAGATAAAGTTTTAACACAATTGCTTCTCTCCCCCATTTGTCTTCCCATCCAAAAGTGGGGAATTGGAGGGCAGATAAAACTTATTAATATCTAATTACTTTTATACCCTTATTATATTTATTATTTAAATGTTATCTTTTATATCACTAGCGATAAAATAATTAATCTTACATTATTTTTCTTTCTTTTTTTATAATTTTTTTATAACCAAACAAGATTTGTCATTTTCTCTCTCATCTTTCTAAAAAAAAATCACTCAAGACAAGCTAAGGCTATGTTTGTTTTGAGGGATCTGAAAACTGTTGATTTCAAAATTTTTTAAATATAAATTTTTTACTTGCACACCTTTTGAATGGAGGTGTTGAAAATATTATAAATGAATTGTGTAGCTCGCACTGATAGTGTTGACTCGCGGTGGTGATGAATAGAGCTGTAAACGAATCGAACGTTCGCAAACAAAAGCTCGTTCGAGCTCGTTCGTGTTCGACAAAAGCTTGTTCGTTTGTCAATCGAGCCAAGTTCGAATATAAAATTAGGCTCGTTTAATAATTGAACGAACACGAGATCGTTCGTGAATGTTCGATTATGTTCGCGAACATTATTTTAACATAATTTTATTTTATTTTTATATATTTACATAATATTTTTAATAAAAAATCTAAAATTTAATATCATTTTATTTTTTTATATATTTACATAATATTTTTAATAAAAAATATAAAATATAAAAATATTTTTATTTTATTCTTTTATTTTTGAGTTCCAACGAACAAATTTTGAGTCAATCACACATATAGAGATGTTAAATGGTCCCCGGCCCGACGGGCCGGCCCGTTTAGCCCGAAAAAAACAGGGTTATGTCCTAATATTAGTAGCACGTTTAAATCAGGGCTTTTTAGGCCCGGACCGTTTAGCCCGAAGCCCGATAGGGCTAGCCCGAAACCCGCCAGGGCTAGCCCGTTTAACTAGGGTTGGACGGTGTAAATATTTGCATCAAGTAAGTAATATGCTCTTAAATTACTTGTATATTACTATTTTGGTATTCCGCTTCACATGTAAGTATGAGTTGTAATGAATTATTATGATTTGAAAGATAATTACTAACAATATTGTTATTGTATTTCATACCAAAATATTTAAGTCAATCAGAACGACTAATAGAAAACACATGAAACATAGTGATAGACGGTAAATACTAAATAGTCGTTAAAAATAACTTTTAACTAGTCGTTGTTATTTTTTTAAAATATTTTTTACTCTTTTTATTTTTGATTTTTTTTTATATATTATTATTATTATGAATATTATAGCCCGCATAGCCCGTTTAGTCCGAAGCCCGCTAGGGTTAGGGTTAGGTTCCTTTTTTGGTAGCCCGTTTAAATTCGGGCTTTTTAGGCCCGGACCGTTTAACCCGAAGCCCGCTAGGGCTAGCCCGAAACCGCTAGGGCTAGCCCGTTTAACATCTCTACACACATATTTAACAGGTTTATGTATTAAATTATTCGAACACGAACGAACTCGAACTTTGACGAACAATTCAACGAACGAACTCGAACACGGTATTTTGCTCAAAAAATAAATGAACGAATGCGAACACTGTTCAAACGTAAACGAACACGAGTTCAAACAGCCCAAGCTCGGTTCAATTCGTTTACAACACTAGTGATGAATCTGAATGATCGCGGACAACGTGATCGTCAACGGTGATAAACAGTAGATTTCAAATAACTTGATTTGAAGAGTCATTTAAAGTTCTTCAAAATAATGACAAAAAAAATATTTGGCATGAATTTGAATTCGTCAAACTTCTATTACCATACCAACTATAGGGATTTGAACTTAAAAGTTTAAAATTTATGGATTTCAAATCGCTTAATAAATCCAGTGTTCGAAAGGTCAGCTTAGGTGTCCGCCTAGGCGCTAGGCGCCGGTACAATGCCTACGATTTGACCAAATGGACCGTAAAAATCGGCCGGGCGGGCTCGGCGACGCCTAGTCGGGCCTAGGCGGAGCTCGGCGGCCTACTCAGTTTCGGCGGGACTAGGCGGCTGAGGCGGGTTCTAGGCGGCCGAGGCGGGTTCTAGGCGGTTTTTACAATTCTTTTGTTATTTTTTTTGACTAAATGCATTTAGTTTAAATAATAAATCTTATAATTTTTTATTTTATAATTTTTATATTTATCTTATGTTGTAATATTTAAAACATAACATGTAGATAATGTGTTTGATAAAATTACAATGAGAAGAAGTTATATTGTGGTTATGTACTTATTTTGACTTGGAGTTTTTTTTATAATATAATATTAATAATATTATTGGGACTTAGGTGTATGGATTTATTAATTATAAGTTATAATTTTATTAGTGAAATTGTAAAAATAAATAAAAAATAATATATTTATTATAATTTCTAAGCCCCGCCTACGCGCCACCTAGGCCCCGACTAGGCGCTCTAGGCGTTAGACGCTGGTCGGGCGCCTAGCGGGTAAGGTTGTAAACAAATCAAACATTTTTTATTCGATTCGTGATTCGAATTCGATATTCGTGATTCGAATTCGAAATATTTGAATTCGAATTCGAATTCGAATGATGTTTTAGATTCGAAATTATAACGAATTCGAATCCGAATGTGTAGATATTCGATTCGAAATTCGAATATTCGATTCGTTAACAATAATTATATAAATTTTACAAATTATATATAATATATATTTTGTTTATAATATATGTATATATATATTGTTATATTCCTAATATTTTTATGACATAAAAAGTAAAAACATCATAAATTAACAATTTTTCTAAAAATATATGAAAAATAAAATTTATTTTTGTAATTATAATATTTTTTAATTATAATATTTTTATACAAATTATATATAATATACATTTTGTTTATAATATATGTATATAGCTATATATATTGTTATATTCCTAATATTTTTATGACATAAAAATAAAAACATCATAAATTAACAAAACTTTCTAAAAATATATGAAAAATAAAATTTATTTTTGTAATTATAATATTTTTTAATTATAATATATTTTTTTTAAAACTAATTTCGAATCGAATCGAATATGGTCGAATATTCTAAACGAATCGAAAACGAATCAAAAAATGAATTCGTTATCGAATCGAATCACGAATCGAATCTTCGAATATTTTAAACGAATCGAATCGAATCTCTGAATATTCGCTTTGATTCGATTCGTTTACAACCCTACTAGCGGGCGCCTAACGATTTCTAGAACCCTCATAAATCCTTCAATCAAAAAGTAGCTTTTGTCTCCCCTTTCCTTCCTTGTCTCCGTGTTAAAATCACTCAACCAAACATAGACTAAGGTCCCCACTTAGCTTACTCTAATCCACTTTCCACTATATAATACACTTCCAGCTGCGGAACCCTATCACTGAGCTCAATTTTAACACATTTTCAGAAGGCCCTTACCAACTCGAAAAGCCACAGCTCCATGGCGGCGGCTGCCCCTACCAATTTCTCTACCTCCGCTACGGCCTCCTCATCCAAAGCCTTAACACATCCTGCTCGAGTGCCGACAAGATCCTTGAGCTTCCTATCATCCTCCTTTTCTCCTAAGCTGCTGTGGGTTGCCGCTGGTTCCCGCGCCGCTCCCGCCTCTGGATCTGCTATGGCGGTTCGCATGGTTTCGACCCCCGCCATCAAGCCCCCGGCATCCCTGGATTTCGACACATCTCTGTTCACAAAGGAGAAAATCAACCTAGCCGGTCACGATGAGGTGCCTTGTTCAACAGTGTCTTTAGGCTATCAAAGATTGATCTTTATTGATGAAATCATGAAATTACATTCATGGATTTTGATACAATTATGATTTATTAAGCTTAAGCACAAAACCTGATCTTATGCTTACTTTACTGTTCACGAAGGTTTGAAAGTTTGTATATTAGCTTTGGACTGCTCCGTTTGGTGGTTAAATGTTGTTGGTGGTCTGTAATTCCTTTGATTGTTTTAGCTATGCTTGAGTTGTCATTTACTTTGTTGCTTATTGTTACTGGATACTTACTTTTCAAGACGAATGACTATGGTTTTGGATAAAATGGTTCATGTTACCGGTGAAAGATGACAGTGTTGGGATGTTTAGTGAGAAACTGTGACAAATCAACCCGAAAAAAACTGTGTCTTTCTTTCATATTTCTAGTAATTCGTAGGTTATTTTGAGTTTTATGTAATAGTGCTGTTTGTCTTGTATGCAGTTCATTGTAAGAGGAGGAAGAAACTTGTTTAAAATGTTGCCAGATGCGTTCAAGGGTATAAACCAGATTGGAGTGATCGGTTGGGGCTCACAGGTAACTCATTTCTTGCCTCCCTTAATAAAATAGTTGGTGCTTGTTGAGATCCTTAATTGGCTTTGAATGTTTCATACTTTTATTAATTGTTAATTGATGTGTTTTTATACACTTGTTGGGTTGAATTGGATATGCTTATTGCTTGACCTCATTAAACCAGAGTTTCTATCTGGGATGATAATTTTAGTAGACCCATCATAGATTGATTATGTATGAATGCTGATGTACTAATTTACTAGTCCATGATTGCACGACACACCAAGTACTCAATCAAATGCTTGATAAATCTCATCATGTCTGTGGTGTAACTCGTGTTACTGTTAAAAATATATTATCGAGTTTGAGGCAGTGCCCTTGTGATTGATAAATATTATGTTTTCTTGTCTTGGCATTCTGTCTGAAGCACGGTATTGTTTTTCAAATTCTTTTGCATTTTCCTGCTAAAAACTACTGCAGTTTGTTGAAAATAACAATCATCTGCCTGCACAATAACTAATTCATTGAGATATGTTTATTGATTTACTGTCCTGGCGATGGAAGTTCTTTGTTTTTTTTTTTTCCTTTTTTATTCATTTGTTTGTTGTTGTTGTTGTTGTTGTTTATTCATTTGTTTGTGGTGCGTAGGGACCTGCACAAGCTCAGAATTTAAGAGATTCCCTTGCTGAAGCAAAATCTGAGATTGTGGTCAAGGTAAATGTTGGTTTTATCAATTGCAGCTAATGTGATATGGGTGTGGAGGCAATGTGGTGACACATTTTAAACTAAAATGAAATACATCATTTTTGCTGTCTTTTCCCCTGTATGCAGATTGGTTTGAGGAGGGGTTCTAGTTCATTCGCTGAGGCCCGTGCTGCTGGTTTTACTGAAGAAAATGGGACCCTAGGAGACATATGGGAGACTGTTTCCAGCAGTGATTTGGTGCTGCTTTTGATATCAGATGCCGCTCAGGTACTCTAATATGCTACATAAATGAAATGGAAGTTATACTCTGGATTGAAACACATCTAGCTACCTGAATGATTTTAATGGAACTGTTTTCTTCATAATGTGGCTTATACTCTTTGAGGACTTATTTGATTGATTACAATCTGCTACAAGTGCAGTCTTTTTGCATTGTGGAGACATCTTAATTTTAGCTTGCTGATGGTTGTAGGCTGATAATTACGAGAAGGTGTTCTCTCACATGAAACCAAATAGCATACTTGGACTTTCCCATGGGTTCCTGTTAGGTCATTTGCAATCAATGGGTCTTGACTTTCCCAAAAACATCAGTGTCATAGCTGTATGCCCCAAGGGAATGGGACCATCTGTAAGAAGGTTATACGTGCAGGGGAAGGAAATCAATGGTGCTGGTATTAATTCTAGTTTTGCTGTCCACCAGGTATGTAAATCTCCATTTGTGATATTTTTAGTTGAATGGAGAGTGGCTTGATTTTTATCTTTGAGTTAATGTGGATATTTTGATGGGTGTGTGTTCTTTAAAGGATGTTGATGGAAGGGCTACTGATGTTGCCCTTGGATGGTCTGTTGCTCTTGGTTCACCTTTTACTTTTGCCACCACCTTGGAGCAGGAGTACAAGAGTGATATCTTTGGGGAACGAGGTAAGATAATTTTTTTCCCATCTAATATTACTGCAGCCTATGGTCTTCAATAGCGTGATGATTCACTATGTTAATTCATAGGCATTTTACTTGGTGCGGTGCATGGTGTTGTGGAGTCCTTATTCAGAAGGTACACTGAAAATGGCATGAGTGAGGATCTTGCTTACAGGAACACTGTGGAGAGTATTACAGGAATAATTTCTAAGACCATATCAACAAAGGTCTGGCTTTGGGCGTTATTTCTTTTCCATCCTTCTCTCACGTCTATTTTCTATCTAGCTTGTTCATGTTAATGATATTTGGTTTTATTTTACTGAATCCTTTCCATTTTTGTTTCCGAATGTTCTGTTTTATTGAATCCTTTAACGATTTTAACGAATACTTTGATAGGGCATGCTGGCTGTCTATAATGCATTAAGTGAAGATGGGAAGAAAGAATTCGAAGCAGCTTACAGTGCTTCTTATTATCCCTGTATGGATATCCTATATGAGTGCTATGAAGATGTTGCCAGTGGCAGTGAGATAAGGAGTGTTGTCCTTGCTGGCCGCCGTTTTTATGTATGCCACTCTGTATTATTAGTCATTTGATCTAATGAATGGCGAATTTCTTTGTAATGATATTTTTGCTTAATGCAGGAAAAGGAAGGTTTGCCAGCTTTCCCAATGGGCAAAATTGATCAGACACGAATGTGGAAAGTAGGTGAACGAGTTCGAGCGACACGTCCAGCTGGTGACTTGGGACCTCTGTACCCTTTCACTGCAGGGGTCTTTGTGGCCCTAATGATGGCCCAGGTGAGTTGTATTCCTACTTATATTTCTTGTTGACTAGCACAATTTCTTGAGTCTCGAGTGAAAAGGCAGTGTATTTAGTGCACACAAAGTGGTATTTTTTGTTATATACTTTTCAGATGCAAAATTCAGACATGTCTGATTTTTATATAGAACAGCACAGTTTCCAGTTTGCTAAAATGGTTCGTGAAGGATTTAAAATAATTTTTTGCCTGTTTTGGTTCAAGAATGTAGGAATGAATTTCAAGATAACAAAAATATTGGGAGCATAATTGTAATTGGTGAAGAATTAAAAATTAGGTTATGGTAACACTCCCATCCTGTTTTACTGTTGCAAGTCGCAACTAGGGATGCAATTTTTTTTTTTTTTTATTTTTTTTTATTTTTTTTATTTTTTTTATTTTTTAACCAAAATTTTTGGTCAGTGTTATTAAATAGTGGCCATGGCAGTAGGACGTGGTGGATTTTAGCCTTCCCGCAATATTGTGGCGGCTTTGCAATGACTGCTTCATAGCGGTCTCTATGAGCGTGGAGGCCATAGAAGCGTGGCCTGATGGAGGAAAATTGCGGTTTCCTCCCAGATTCAGCCCAGAAAAATATAAAAAGCAAGTAGACTCGGGCCTAATTTTGCCAACATCAACCCAGATCTATGATAGATCTGCACCCTTGAAAAATAAGAAAACCTTGATTGCTGGGAGAAAGATGAAAGAAAAGAGCCACCCTTCCTCCAGCAACCCAACTTCCGATCATTATTTCTCTATTTCTTTCTTTCTTTTTCCTTTTCCCTGTTCACTGCATGTTTTCTTTTACCCTACCCCTTCCCACTATTTTTCCATTTCTTTTTGCACTTCAGAATTTCCAGATCGTCTTTTGGCTGCATTTATGAATTAGTAAAAAGCAGCTCACTTTTTCTTTGGTGCCCTTTAGTTTTTCAGCTTTTTATTTATTTGTTTAAATTTTCAGCCTTTTCTTTTCTTAAGGTCTTCATTTATTTTATTTTGACTCTCAGGTATTCCTTGTGTAATTAGTGTTATGTTTTATATATTTATCATCATGTTTTATGCTTTTATTATGATGTCATACATGTACATATATATCAGTGTAAATATATAATAATATACTTTTGGGGTCCGTCACTTTCCATCCATCACTTATATGGGTGCTTTCTGGGTCACTGCCATCCGGCATTGATAACACTGCTCTCATAGTGAATCAAGTGTTGACGAATCTTTGATTTCTTTACTTGGGTTGCAGATTGAGATTTTGAGGAAAAAGGGCCACTCTTACTCAGAGATTATAAACGAAAGCGTGATTGAGTCTGTGGATTCGTTGAATCCATTCATGCATGCCCGAGGTGTTTCCTTTATGGTCGACAACTGTTCCACAACAGCCCGACTGGGATCAAGGAAGTGGGCCCCAAGATTTGACTACATTCTCACCCAGCAGGCTCTGGTTGCGGTGGATAATGCTGCTCCTATCAATCGGGATCTCATCAGCAACTTCCTTTCAGATCCTGTGCATGGGGCCATTGAAGTATGTGCCGAGCTGAGGCCAACAGTCGATATCTCTGTGCCCCCGGATGCTGATTTTGTCCGTCCGGAGCTCAGACAATCTGGCAACTGAGAGGGGGGTTGAACCCTGTGCTTTAGGCGTCGAGTTCTAGTGGGGTTTATGTTTTGCTTGTAGAATTGTGGATGTAATTTGCTACCTTGTCGACAATGAGTTTTCTGTTTGGTGGTGTGTGGACCTTTGGGTTGTCGAACGAGTTCATATTTCATGCTATGAGGAGATATTCACATCGTCGGCAACAAAGAAATAAAAGAAAATGTGTGTCTTATCAGCTATGGTATAGTGTTTGCCCTTTGAATTGTAAGCTTACAGGTCTTATAACCGATAAAGAAGATGTGCTGATAAACTGGCATATGCGTCACTTAATTTGAGGACAGTAATATTAAGAGGGAAAGGTGCAGCATAGGGCTTGTAAATGGACACGGCCAAGTTCTGGTTTTTAGTTGAGGTTCGGAGCCTGAATTGGCCTAGGTATATGTGGGAAAAATTAGAGATTCAGTCCTTTAAGTGGTATCAATTTGAGGTTTAGTCCTGTAACTGACTAACTTTTAGAAAAAGTCCTGTAAGTTCCAAAAAACGTGATAAATAGTCCGGCCACCGGCTAACGAAGGTAACTCTTACCGGCTTGCTTACTTGGATTTTGTTTTCAATTTTTTTTAATGCGCCACATTGGTAAAAAAAAATGAACAGTCACTTAGGGCTTGATTGTTTATGAAATAATTTGTTCAAAATGAATTATTTTGGTTAACCATAGTTAATTTTGAAAAAATTATATGGTTAGTTATTAGTGGAATTTTAAGAATATATTAAAATAATATTCAAAATAAAATGATTAAAATTGATTTGATTTAAAAGTAAGAGATAAATGATTGGAAATGATAGGTAGTTAAAATTATGTGAGTGGATGAATAGTAAATTAAAGTTGATGTGATGTGTAAGAATGATTGGTTTGTAGTGTTTAATTATATGAATAATATTAAAGATAGTGGGGTTGAGTTAAAGTTGAGTTAAATTTTGAGTTGAAACAAAAGTGAGCAAAATAATTGGCTAATTTACATATTTACTGTAGTGATTGTTAAATAATTGTAACAATATTAACTCAAACAACTTATTTGCAAAGATACCTAACTGGCTATTAAAATTATATTAACACCAGATTGTTGAAACCGTTGAGAAACCGTTGAGAGAGAGAGGAAAAACAAAAACTTTAAACATACCTTAGGAGATTCCATATTTTACAGGATTCTACCCATAAATAAATAAAAAATAAAAATGGTAAGCTAGATAGAGTTGAACAAAATCGTTGAAGAAGGAAAAAATTATATTATCGCGATCACGATCTAGCTGTGTTCCAGATTTAAGGTAAATATTTACGTTTGGAACCGATTCTATATACTGTAACTATACATTAATATAATGATTTTCGTCGTTTTATTCACGTTTATTTTGTCTGTGCATTAATATATTTGTGCACGTACAACAATCGAAGAAATGGTTGAAACGCAATATATACTGAAAATATACTTACTATATACAAAGTCAGTCATATGACACCGCCGAGCGAAAACTACTTGACGTCTGATATTGTTGTCCAACATTCATTTGAACATAAAGTATGAATTGTGTATTATTTACAAATATTTTAACGAGATATATACTTGACATATACTATTTATCGTGACGGTTTCATAATGTGTATATATTACCAATATATACTTGTTTACATCGGACATTTTTCATCTATTGAATCTGTTACTGTATCGAATTGTTAAGATTTATTTCAGAAGATAAATCAATCTAATCATTATATAACCGAAAATATACTAAAGATATACGTATTATATACATCAAAGAAAATGGCCCAAAGAAAAAAAAAAAAAATTAGCCAAAGAAGAGCATTGGGAGGTTGCGAGGAAAAGGCCAAAAAAAAAAAAATAAATAAAACTAAAAAAATAAAACACCTAACAGCGTTGGGCGGATCGCATCCTTCAAACGAGACGCTCCCCTTCAGAACTCAATTAGGGAATTGTGTCAATCGGCGAGACCCCACCTCCACCGTAGGATAAGCAATCAATTCGAGGTCTCATCGTTGCGAGATGAGCCGCCGCCAGTGCAAGAGCCACAAGTGATGGGTTGTCACGAACCTTCACGAGTACGAGGTCCTTCGATCGATGTCGCCCACAGTTGAGGTCCGCCGCCACCAAATTCAGCGCAGGGCGTGAAGGGGAGAACTTGTTGTGTATGGTCGACCTTTGATTTGGGTAGCAGTGAAAACAAGGGAGAAACTTAAAGGAGAATAAATGGAGAATTTTATAGAAAAAAAAAAGTAGATGAAGAGATGCAAAATGTTGATACGAAGAAAACAAAAAGATAGAGGAAGAGATGAAATATGTTGGTACGATTACAAATGAAAATTAGGGTATCAGTATAAGTACAAATAAAAAGATAGGGTTGGTATATGTGCAAATAAAAATGATTTTGGTTGTACATGGAGTAATTTTCTCAAAATAATTAGTAAACAATCAAGCCCTTAATTTGGGGGGAAAATCCCTAATTGTTTCCAAACTCGTCACTTCACTTTCTCTAACCATAACAAAGCTCGATCCCGATTTCATCCAAGCCCTAAGAAACCATTTTCTGAAAAAATTCAGTTTGTTGAAAAGTTCTGCTACAATGCCTGATCTAATGACGTTCAGGCCACCAGAACACTTCGAGTTTGAACCACCCGATTATGGTAAGTTCTGTTGTTAATTTTCTGAATTTCAATTTCGTTACCAAAGTTTGAACACTTCGATTCTGTTGTTTCTGAATTTTCTCAATGTCCCCAAAGTTCATGTGTGCTTTTCGAAACCCTAGTTGAAATGTTTATTGTCGTCTTTTATTTTGCAGATCAATTTAACATAATCTATGTTTTTTTGTTTTGTTTTGTTTTGTATGCAGAATCGAAAAGCTAACTCTTCACTTTATGTGTCCATTTTAGGGGACATTTCCATAGTAATGGTGGGGAAAAGAAGTACATCGGTGGGGCAGCTTACAAGTTCGACTTTGTCCGAGAAGGTCTGATGTCTTTAGAAGCACTTTACAGGCTGACAATTAGAGAGAAAATGGAGGGGACCATTACTTACTGGGGAAAATCTGAGGTAGGTCTCATTACTAAAATAAAAAATGATGAGGAATTACTTGTTTTCATTAATTGAGCTATAAATGGTTCTAGAGAGCTCTTTATTTATTTTGATAATGGGGCTAAGTGCATCACATGTGATGAAGACTCTAATGATTGGGAGATAGATGATGAATCATTGGCAAATTATGACTATGAGGCTGAGTTGGGATTTAAGGTTAGTGGGCAGTGTGAAAGAAAGGATTCTGAAAATGAGGTTGGAGTGAAGGCTAGTGGGCAGTGTGAAAGAAGGGGCTCTGTGCATGAATTGAGAGGTAAAGATGATGAGGGAGATGGTAGTGTTGAGAGTGTTAATAGTGATAATAGTGAAGACCTTGACTTTGAGCTTAGTGGTAAAGAATGTGATAATGAGGATGATGATCTTATTTTCAATGAACACATAGACTCTGATGTGGAGTGGTGTGATCACAATACATCAATCCCTATTGGACCTGCTGAAGAAGATGATGAATTGGGTGATGCAGAAGTGGTGGAAAGTGAGGATGAATACTACAGCGGGAAGGAGTCTGATGAGGAGGTGAACAAGGTTGAAGCTCCTCTGTTCAATCCACTTCAACAGTACAATCCAAGGTTGAAGCTTGGAATGGTTTTCAACACAAAGAAAGAAGTTAGGATGGCAGTTCACTCAGATGCAATTAGGGAAAAAAGAAATGTGAAAATTACTAAGAATGACACCCTCAGATTGCATGCTAAGTGTGTTGAGCTTGAATGTGAATGGAGGCTGCATGCAGTAAAGATTAATGATTCAAGTACATATAGAATCAGAGAATATGTCTCCAAACATTTAAAAATCTTAATTCAACTTGGTTGGCTGGGAGATATCTCCATAAGTTCCAGTCAAATCCTACAAGAAAACCCAAAGGATTCAGAGTTGATTGTGTGCAAAGTCTAAGGTGTAATGTCACCCCATTTCAGGCATGGAGGGCAAAAAAACTTGCTTTGGAGAAGCTGGAAGGAAACATAGAGGAACAATACAAACTGTTGTGGGCATATGCAAATGAAGTATGGATATCTAACCCTGATTCAACTGTGGTAATTGGGCTACACCAGGACCAAACATTTGAGAGGATTTATGTTTGTTTTGCTTCACTGAAGATGGGTTTTCTAAATGGGTGCAGAAGGGTTATTGGAGTTGATGGGTGTCATATCAAGAGTGCACAAGGTGGAGTACTATTAACAGCTGTGGGTTTGCATCCAAACAACAGTATTTTTCCTATTTGTTATGCTGTTGTTGAGTTGGAAGATGGTGAATCATGGGGTTGGTTCTTGAGGTTATTGAAGGCTGATCTTGGAATTAAAGATGATTATCAATTGTGCTTCATGTCAGACAAGCAGAAACGTCTTATCCAAGCATTCAATGATGTGTTTCCAAATGCTGAACATCAGTTTTGTATTAGACATATGCAAGGTAACATGAGGAGAGCTGGTTTTCAAGGACAATCATTCAAATTAGCTGTATGGAGGGCAGGAAAGGCCACAACTATGAATGATTTTGTAAGGAGAATGTTTGAGGTGAGACAACTAGAAGAGAAGGCATATGACTGGCTTAAAGACAAGCCTCCTGCCAATGGAGTAGATCTCATTTCAACACATTGCTAAGTCAGGCATCTTGTTAAACAATCTTTGTGAGACCTTTAATGGGAACATTTTGGAGGCTAGACAGAAGCCTATTCTAACAATGCTTGAAATGATTCAGTTGTATTTGATGGAAAAAATGCAAAAGGCCAGAGAGAGAGAGCTACCAAGAATTGGAGAAAAAGTGTCATTTGCCCTAGGATTAATAAGATTGTTCAACAAAACCTTTCCTACATTCCTAATTGTATCCCTATAAAAGCAAGTGAATTTAACTATCAGATAAGCTGCAGCAATGGTT